TATATATATATATATATATATATATATATATATATATATACTGAAATTAAGTATATATAATGCCATTGATATTCTTTGCAGGTTCAATTCTATTATTCAGTATTTTATTTTTTGACAGGCTTGGAATGTGTCATGCATGTCTAACTACACATCTTTGACCATGTCTAGCTAACTCCATGCTTACATTTCAAACACAAACTAAGTTTATCTTTGCACTTTGTTTTCTTATGTAGAAATTTAGACATAAAGTTAGCTACTGGTATGAAAAGGCATGTAATAGTGCCAAATGGTCCATGAAAAAGAATGCAAGGAAATAAAATTTCTTACAAAGAATAAAATTAAGTTTATCTTTGCATTATGTTTTGTTATCAATGAAAAGGAATGCCAATTTGTTACAAAGTATGGAAGTTGTAAGGAAATTGAATTACAAGTCATAAACTTAAGATTAGAAACCAATTGGTTCTATTATGTTTCAAACACAAACTTAAGTTTTTTTTCGCATTTTGTTTTCTTTAGAAGAAATTTTTACGTTTTTTATTTATCTGATTTCTGTATATGTAATTATGAATGCATTTATTTATTTTATACACATTTCCCCTAATATCTCTGCCATTCTTTCAACATCGTAGAGTGCAAGTTCTCAGGCGGTGTCCCCCAGCCCAACCCCACCTCTACAGAGCAATATACCTGTGTCTCCACAGGCAATTTCTTATTTTAGGCCATCATACCCAGCTAACTCTTCCCATATGGCCCCTATTACCCCCCAATTTACGTGTCTCCAATGCATCAATTTTAAGCCACAATGGTTTCCCTCAACAGCCATCAGCTGGCAACATGTATCTACCAGCCGCCACTTCAGCTGCTGGAGTCAAACTCCCTCTACCACAATTCAAGGCTGGAGCAAACACTGGAAATTATGGCTCATATCGGAATTCCTTCTGGATCATTAATGTCTCCACCTGTTGGGTATGCTCCTACTCCGACAGTGAATACAGCTCCGCTGGTAACGAAAATCTCGCAGTGTCTCAGTTGAAAGAAAACCAGATATATACAACTGGACAACTGGTTGGTTTTACTCATTGCTGCATTTTATTTTCTTTCCCATCTGTGCCTATTTGCTTTTAAATAAATAAAAGAATGTTACATAATTACAATACTATGGGGGCTCTTTGGCTTCAACAGTATCAAATATTATTGAAATACTTGGATTTTCTGTAGTTACTAAACTTGTTTGTTTACTCTTTTTTTTTTTTTTTTTTTTTGCTGCAGAGTGAAGGTTCTGCTGTGTGGATACATGCACCAGGCCAAGATATATCCAGTTTGCAACTTAATTCTCTATATAACCTTGCCCACCAGGGACAACATCTTACCTTCCCCCAGACACAGGCTGCTCCTGGAACATTTCCTGGCATCTATCAACCAGGGCAGACAGTAGCTTCACCTTCTACCCTCTTGCAGCAGTCTCAAGCTGTTGCTGGCCCTGTTGAAAATGTAGGCCCTCCTCCCGGATCTTATCAGCAGCCTCCACCCGCACAGATCAATTGGAATTCTAATTTTTAGGATCGAGAACATTTTCTTGATACAATAATTTTCAAATGCAAAATGTTCTCAAATCCATGAAGAATGAATATTGGCCTGATCTGAAGTGTAAATAACAAATGCGGCCAAAAAATGAGAAAAGAAAGTTAGTACATGTTGATGCTGACGGTTTTGAAAGGGTGTTAGTTGCAGGTTTTTGGTTTATTTATATTTTTAGAGGCTTCAGATTATTCATGCCTCACATGTTCTTTTGCCCCTTAGAAACATGTAGTTGTTGCTATAAGGACCTTAGTAATAGTTCAATAGAGTTGGTGAGATTTTTCAATTTTTCCGTTCTCAATTCTCACCTGTATACTACATTTTGATAGCTTAAGACATTGGGTTATACTGTTCTATATGATTATTGAGAGTTGCAGCATCTATTTTTCTTCAACACATTTCCTTTGTATGTAGGAGCTCTCATTATCTAATTGAGCAGTGCATGTGGATGTATTTGTTTGTCTGGATTTCTTTTCATTGCAAGTTTTAAGTTTCTAATTTCTTTGAAGCATTGAGATGAAAATATGGTTTAGAAAACCCTGCAATAGTCCAGTAACTATGAATGACATTTTTGTTTTGTATTCCGACGTCACGATGAATGATGAACAATAGTTATCAGTCTATAACTCTATTTCACCCATTTTGACGGCATTTTGGAAGCTTGTACGGTTTGGTGCCCCCATGAACTTCAGATTTTGAAGTGTAAAAGCACAACGAGATGCTTATAATCAACAATGAGAACATAATAGGGGAATTTTGTTTTGAAAACAAGTCTTCAATATTCCTTTTGTATTTATTCTTTTTCTATTTAATTGTAATTAAAGTCTTCGTTGAATAATTTTCCGTGGCGAGTCAGGTTGCCAAACTCTCTAATATGCGCATTGAGCTCTCAATTGTTCTACTAACACAGTTCTTTCTATTAATGTGTGCTAAAGCCCTTAAACATTCATATACCCGAGTATAATTTAGGAGACCACAATGGAACTGAGGAAAGGTCACTCCAAAATAATCTTCTAACAAATTTTCAATGATTGAATACTGTTTGATTTGTCTATACAAAAACATTGCTGCAAAATGGGATTGGACCTGAATTGCCTAACTAAAGAATGTAAAACAAATGTATGAATAATTCGGTTGTGGTATTCACTCGCTGTCATAGATTGTATGACTCACACAACAATGTTATTGTTAATATTTACACTCAAATCTTTGTTATCTTCATTAGCTGGTTTCTGTTTTGGTGTAGGCACATTATGCTTTGGAAGCTGCTTGGTTGCATTTTCCTGTGACTCATGCAAGTTATATGTTGTGTAAACTGACATTCCAGTGAGAGCAATAACCGCTCCGGCAATGCTAATAATCCCCGGATCAGAATCGAATAACAAATAACCTCCCAACAGAATGACACAGGTCTTAAACTGTCCTAAAACGACATGAGTTGTAGCAGAAGTTGCCCTGCATCAGAAATAAAACTATCTGTCAAAAACGGCGCATCGCTATTTCTTTCTATTAAAACTTGAAAGCGGAAAGAACTCTCACCCTAATGCCAATGCACCGGACCACTGTAAGAGAAAACCAAGAAGAGCGGATATCATAATTGCAGACGAGCTGTTTACATCCCACTTGAACGATAACACTCCTGGTGGATCAATCCAAGGCATCAAAGCCCCTAGGAAGAAAACTGTGATAGGTGTAGTCTTCCACATCAATCTACAATGAAAAATTTTCAAGTCTAGTTATTGAAAACTTAATTTTTAGAGACACGAAATTGGATAGTGTCTGCTAGTACTCACGCCAAAGCTGTCCAGTTTCCTTGCTGCTGTAAAGTAGACCATAAAATTTTATTTATCGCACTTGGGATTATCCATATAACTGCAACTATAGCACCAAATAAATTGAACTCTAAATCTGATACAGTTGCAACTGCTACACCAGCTGATACAGCAGCTAAAGCCAAAACCTGCATCATTGCATTCCAATGCATGATGAGTACATAAACAAATAAAGGGTTGGAACTTGAATGAAGTAGTTTTTTTTTCTAGATATATGAAATGTTTTGTGAAGGAGAAAGAACAAAAAAGGCGAAAAGCTTAGTTATGACCTTTTTTGAAGAAATGGTTTTCTTAAAAAATATGAACTCTGCTAGAACAATTGTTGGAGTAACAGCAATCTTGGCCATTTGGTAGAAACCAACACTGCACGAACCGAACTGTTAGCAAACAGAAAAGGAAGTTCCAAACCTTGACCAAACTAGTCTTTTACGTTTATAAACACCAACAATATAAGACCAAACTTCATATTTTTCATATATGTTTGTTGCCAACAATCTCGACCATTCAAGAAGGTAAGTTTTATATTCTAATCATCGAGATAACATCTAAAATACACCGTAACGACTATTATAACATCTATTCCATAAAAACTATCATGATCCTTTTAGTTTTTATGTCAAAGATAAAGAATTTTGATGCATTTTTGGCTAATAAACATGTTAGAGAAAGAGCATGAACCTGTTATACTTGAGGCTTGTGTTCGCAAGACCGGATGCAAAAGCCATAACAGCACCAAGTGCAAATATAGAAGAGAATGGAGTTGATTTAGATGGAGGCGACACTGGAAGCACCGATATAGTTTTGAAAATTGCAAGCAGAACCCATGAGGTGACATAGTGAACAAATGTGAGGAAAATCGGGAAGTTGAAACCAACTCTTCCCATCACCTATCAACAAGAAAGTTATAACAAAAATTCATAATGGTGATAAGTTACATGCGTCGTAAGAGGAAAAATGGTTCTGATTTCTGACCAATTTGTTAGCCATGATGATACCAACAGCAACCATGAAGTTGAACGATAATGCGACCACTGGTCCACAATATCTTTGTTGTTGTCGCTTGGCTCCTTCTGATGTTCGGAGCTCATTGTACAAAGAAGATCTTAGTTCTTCCAGCGCTTTACCTGAACATTTTTTTGCCATAACAACAATGCAATATGTGATTCAATCACGATGGAACTCAACGAATTTCAAAGCAAATCACAGAAAATCAAGAATTCATGAACATGCAGGTAAAATAGAATTCATGAATCAGAAAAAAGAACCTGATTCGCCTGCATCACTGTCTTTCCTTTTGATGAATCTGCGTCCATTTCCAAATAGTGAATCCAACCACCCCATAACAACCGAGCTTATTCATGGACACGGATCACATATTAAATCTAAATGCTTTATTTATTATACACCTTTTGTCAAACACAATTCTGTGTAACGATTACTCACAAAACAGAATTGAAAAAGTTAAAGTCTCATATAAATATGAACTAAAAGACCATGTTGCTTACAATACAATCAATATTTTGATATACATAAAAAAAGACAGAGAGAAAAAAAGAAAAGGAAAAAGTGAAGTTAAGTAGATTTAATTTGATTTGTGTCCTACATGAGAATATTACATTCGATCTAAACAAATTGGTAAGATTCTTAGTAACACTTGTTTGTTGTATGATAGAAAATTGTTTTACGGAGAAGTTAAGGCAACATCATCATCATCCATGAAATATTGTTATAAGAAATAGTCAAGAGAGACATGTGTAAGAACCACCTTCATTTACTCTTTTAGTTGAGATTTCATCAATTCATCACTAAACTTAATGTAAAAGTTTCATATTATTTTATTATTATGAAATAAGTAAAAGTTTCATCATCACACCAACTGGTTGGTAACAATGACACTTATTATTACAGTATTTCTTAAATCTTTTATGTAAATTAAGTTGCACTTTTTCATTTAACTCTAATTCCAAATCTATTTCTTAAACTTAAACAAAATAAATACAACACACCTTACAAACATTATCGAGAACACCTCAACAACAACAACAATGAAACTTTGCAAAAACTAACACAGTAGAAAATAAGCACAACCATAAAACTATGACATTTGTATCATTTGATTCATGGTTGAACCATTGGTTCTCCTCACTCCTGCTGTTCTTCTCACTCTTCTCTTTGGTTGGCCACCAAATATGATCACAAGCCATCTTGGCTTTCCAAATAAAAACATGAAATATCCAAGGCCTATTCCAAACACAAATCCACACCCATATCCTATTGCCACTGGTTTCCATCCAAATCCAAATTTCTCTTCACTCTCAGAGTTGTTGGAAGAAGGTGGAGAAAGTTGTTCAGGTCCACATTTCTTTGACAACGGAAATCCGCATAACCCCATGTTTCCTTCATATGAATCATTTGTAAATGTATTGAATTGCTTTCCTTGAGGTATTTCTCCTATTAGATGGTTATTGGAAAGATTCAAAACTTCAAGTCTGTTTAGATTTGTGAATTGGGAAGGAATCATACCAATCAACATATTTGAGGAGAGATCCAACCATTCCAAGTTTGTCAAGTTTCCCATGGATTGCGGAATATGACCAATGAGTCTGTTATGAGAAAGGTTAAGCCCTACGAGTCCATGAAGCTCACCAATAACATTTGAAATCTCTCCTTCAAACATGTTTCTAGACAAATCAATAATTACAAAGATTGTTGGAATTTTTACCATTGGTATATCGATTCCTTTCAATGTCACAGTCATGGAATCATAGTAACTCTTATATACATCTAATTCCGTTGCAAATGTGAAACTTACATAGCCATCAAACACTGATGATTTTATATATGACAAACTGCCATCCTCATTAACTTTCATGGATTCAAACCGTTCAACATAGGCTTTTGGTAAAGGACCGCTAAAAGTATTGCCTGAGATATCAAAAATAATTAAACTTGGAAATGGATTGTTGATCTTTGGATTAGAAATGGGACCATGTAACTTATTGTCTCGCAAAACCAACACTTTTAATTTTTTCAGAGTTTGAAGCCAGTAAGGAAATTTATCTTCTATTTTGTTGCTGCCAAGATTTAAAACTTCCAGCTTTTTGCATTGGGACAAAGTTTCAGGCAAACAGTCATTTAATTGGTTGCCAAAGAGATTCAGAGTTGAAAATTTACAGTTCCTTGAAAAGTTATTTGGCAAAGTGCCATGCAATTTGTTCATTTGTAAATCCAAAACTCGAAGAGGCAATAATCTAACAAGACATTGTGGAATCAAACCTGTCAATTTATTGTGTGCAAGATTGAGAAATTTTAGTGAACTCATGTTGCAAATGGAGGCAGAAAGTTCACCTTGTAGTAAGTTAAAACTAAGATCAAGGGAACTGAGCTGGTAACTAGTTGTTGAGATTTGATCTATTGATGTGAACATGTTTTGAGAGAGGTTCAAATATCCTTGATCATTCATTTTTTCAAGTAACCAATTGGGCACTCTTCCAGTAAATCTGTTATTGGACATATCAAGAGAATACAAATATGGGAGTTTTCCTATGAATTTGGGAAGTTGATTCAAATTTAAAGATGACAATTCTAATTTTTGTAATTGAGAAAAATTGTAATCGACATCATTGGTTTCAATGTCTAGTGACAATTGACTATTATATGAAAGAGACAAATAAGTCAAATTTTGAAGTTTGAAAAAATGTTGAAAATCAACAACACCACTCAAATTGTTAGATGCTAGACATAGTGTAGTTAGGTTTGAAAGGTTGAAAATTGATTTTGGAATACTGCCTTGTAGCTTATTATAGCATAGATCAAGTTCTTTTAACGAATACGATGAGATTGCACTTATATGCCCTGTAAATCGATTGTTTCTTAGAGATAACCTTTTCAAACAAGGCAAAGATAACAGGGAGGAAGGAATTGTTCCGTTTAACAAGTTGTTATCCAAAATTAAATAAGTTAGCTTTTGAAACCCTGAGATTTTGTTGATTAAGGGACCCACTAATTTATTATCTGAAGAATCTAATGTTACAAGTTGATTCAAGGTAAATAATGAAGAAGGAAGTTGTCCTTCAAAATTGTTTGAATATAGATAGAGTTCTTGCAGTTTGGCCATCCCACCAAACGCATCTGGGATCTGACCATTAAATGAATTGGAAGAAAGGCTTAATCTAGTGAGGTGATGAAGGTTTGAAAGTGATATTGGAAGCTCACCTCCAATTTTGTTATAACTCAAATCTAGTTCTTGAAATGTATTTGATTGGTGAAATACATTTGGAATTTGACCACTAAGATCATTGTGAGGGAGAATCAACGAAGTTAGACGTGGAAGAATTAAAAGTGAGGATGGAATTGAACCGTTAAGAGAGTTTGCGTAGAAATCTAGAGAAGTGAGAATGGAAGAATTAGAAAACGATGGAGGAATAGGTCCTTGAAAACCATTAAATGAAAAATCCAAAATTCTGAGAAAGTTACTGCAACTCAACTCTGGAAGCTGACTTCTAAAGTCATTACTTGACATATAAAGTTCTTGAATACCTGGTAAGCAGAGAATGCTTTGTTTGAAGCTTCCCCTTAATCCTGTGGATGTAAGATCTAGAGTAACCAAAGAGGAAGAATGATTGAAGAGCAAATCAAAGGAGTTTAGTCTTATTGAAGACATATTTGTGTCAGCCAAAAACAACTCCTTTAAATTTGTTGCATTTTGCACAAGTCTCTTCAAAGTGCTCTCTTTCCAGATTAACTCACGATTGTAAGAGAGACGAAGTGATGTTAATTTAGAAAGGTGTGAGATTTGAGGAGGAACATCACCTTCAAAGGAAGATGCAGACAAGTCAAGATGTGTAAGACTCGTAAGACTCGCAAACATAGAATGAAAATGGAAGTGGGAGAAATCATTGCCAGAAAGGTCGAGTGTTTGGAGATGAGAAAGATGGAAAAGGGTATTGTTGGGATGTAATATACCACCGGTAAGGCAATCATCACCAAGGTTAAGACCAATGACATGACCAGAGATAGTGTCACAAGTGACCCCATGCCATGAGCAACAATCACTCCCATTTTTCCATGTTGCTGTTTTCATAAGAGATTCATCACAATAACTACTTATAAGGAATGAGGACTTGAACTGAAGCAAAGCGGAACTCTCATCACGATGACATAAGAAACTGAAAGAAGAAGAGAATGATGGAAAATGAAAGAAAAAAAGATAAAAAAACAGAAGCAACCACCCCATTGAATGATTAATCAAGATTTTGTGAAATTTGTTAACAAAGTGACAGAAAAGGAAAGGGTGCATGAATGGCGAGGAAGGTGACAAATATTTATATCCAAATTTTAAATAGTTACGTAGAATCAAAGTATTCTATACACGTTTTCTACTCGGTCATGTTAGAAAGTTACATTTAGAAAATTGTTAACAAACTGACACATAAAGCAGGAATGAGATTCTCTTCAATTTTTTCTCTCATGCCCTCTCTCATGTGTAATTATGAACAGTTACATTAATCTAATGGTGACAACAAAAAGAAAAAACATCATTTAAAGAAGAGGGAGAAATATATACAAGTTTTAATTTTCTTTTATTAATCTAATATTTAAGAGGCAAAAATAAATACATTTAAAAATGAGAATGTTTCACATGTCTGTTTTTTTTTTTTCCCTTTAATTTTGTGATATTCATTGTCAGTATTATTGCTACAACAAATCAACTCAAATTGATTGTGGCTAATTGAAGATTGTTTCAAAGTTAATTAAAAAAGACAAAATAATCAATAATCTAATTTTAATAAAAAAACATTAAAATCTACTTTTAGTACAATAAAAAAACTATGGTGTCTCATAGTCTTATTTTAATGTTACGTGATTAAAAACCAATTGTTTTAATTAATTTTTTAGTCACAACATTTGCTCGGTGTATATTTTTATAACACATTATAATAAACATATAGTAACTATTCTCGTTTTTAATTAGAAAATATATAATATAAATTAACTAATTAATTCTGATTTTGATAAACAAAAAAAATCCAATCTATAAGTTGTATGCTTCATTTTCGATTTAAAAAAAAAAAAACTCAAATAATCACAATTTCAAAAAATTTACTAAAGTAATTACTTTTCAAATAAAAAAAATTGTTATACAGAGGAGGCGTCACTCTGTGTGGCACATGCATGTAAAACAGAGAGGTGGTGCCACACTACATGACTTGTCCTCTTATGTAATGCCATGCAGTGTGGCGCATGCATGCAAAGTTAAAGAGGAGGCGCCACCTTGGATGGCTTGACAGTTGTATATGATTTTCTATAAACGCAACCACCCATCTTCACCATTTTTTCACACCATTTCCCACATCACTCTTAGAAAATGTCTTCCACTCCCTTCCCAATGTTTTCCACTCCATTGGCAAGGTTTTCACTGATAAAAAATGCACATGTTATTTTTTCGGCGACAAAGCCTCTGATGAAGATCAAACTCTGGAACACACAGACATTTGAGCATTTTCAGAGACACTTGATTCGCTGGTTGGAAGGAGACATTCCTGAAGGTGAAAAAATCAGAAAAATAGAAAGACAAATTACAGTGAGGAACGAAAATGGAGTAAGCCGATCATGGAAAAAGGTGAGATGCGACGCTGATGTCATGATGATGATGCTTGGACCAGACGATATTATGTTGATGGTTTTTATCTCTTAGATATTATGATGTGTTTAGTTGTTTTGTCTGCTTATTATGTTGTTGTGTTTTGCGTTGTTGTCATGAGTTTGTCGTGTTGTAATTTTTGGGGTCATTATCTGAAGGTTGTTGTAATCGAATGTTAAATTGAATACGAAATCAAAACCCGAATTTAAATTGAAATTTCTTGTTTACAACAAATTAATTACTCCAGAAAGTTTGCTATAAAAAATTAGGTTGTAGAGCTAGACCCAATATTCAGACAATTTTTTCGACTGTGTCTGGGAAGACGACATCTACTGCATAATCTTATCATTTTGTTGGCTGTATCCATTTCAGTTCTAATACGAGTTCTATTGGGGTGCCCCTTTTTCTTACTTCGCATTTGTTTATTGTGCCAAACAATGTTCCCTTGATAAACAGGTAAATAATCCTCCTTTGCCAACACAGAGAAGGTACTGATGTACACACTTAAAACACTCTTTACTGTATAAACGGGGGATATATGTACTATTGAGTCCAAGCGAACATGCGAACATGCCGCTATGACATGAGAGCAAGGCATGCAAAATGCTTGAAACTTTCTGCAATCGCACCAACTTCTATCTAGTTCGACCAGATAATATCCCCTTGGCCTCCCCTCATTATGGGTGTTTGCTTTGACAACCTCCTCGTTAAATGATTTCATTATGCATTCACCGAACAACTGCCCCGATTGTAACACTGCCCTCCATTTTGAACTTCTTGTATCGAACAATGACTCCAACCTAAAATATGTTGCTCAAACCAATGCAGTAATTGGTAAGTTTCAGATGCCTTTGAAGATAGAGTTCAACGATTCCACCAAATTTGTTGTCATATGGCCTCATCATTGACCATTGTCAAATGCCCGAGTCAACTTCTCCATTAGAATGTTATCGATCCACCTTAACGCTTCTGAGTTTATAAACTAGATTTCTTCGTGATAGTGTTGGAATGATGGTTATGTTAAGGCATACCCTACACTAACAATTTTCTTTCAAAGTGTCTTGTCTTTGATATGGAGCATAAAGTTTTGTGTGATATATTTAATGCAATAGACATGTGTTGAAGGGGGATCCTTCCAGCCGTTATCAGGATTATTGTATGCACTCACAATCGATGGATGTCTATCTAAAATCAAACAAAGGTTGGGTTGAGAAGCAACGTGTAATCAGAGATTCTTCATAAAGAAATTCCATGCACCACCTGTCTCACCTTCAACTAGAGTGAAGGCAATCGGAAAAACATTACTGTTGCCATCTTGTGCCATTGCCATGAGTAATGTTCCTTTATACTTTCCGTATAACCAAGTTCCATCAATCTGTACAATAGATTTGCAAAATGAAAAACCTTTGATGCATGGTTCATACGCCCAGAACAATCAATGAAATATTCCATTTCCACTGACACGAGTTCTGTCTGGGGTAAAAGTCGGGAGTGTCTCCAAAATTATAACAGTTTCTAGAGCATAATATTTGAGTGCCACCAAAAACCTTGGAAGTTCTTTGTACGATTCATCCCAATTACCGTAGACAAGTTCAACTGCCTTAGTCCTCATGATCCATGCCTTCCTGTAAGAGGGAGTATAATTGAATCTTGTAACGATATGAGAAATAATTGTACTCACCTTTAATGATGGATCCTTGTTAATAAGAGGCAAGATTTCTTGACATATTAGTTGAGAACTAAGTTTTCGATGATCCTGCATCAAAACGGTGGTGATGCAAGTGTGGAGTGCATCAATGGTACATATTTCCCATGAATCACTCCTCTTCATGTATGGGAAAATTGGTTTTTGACAACATAAAATAATGTACCTCCCTGAATTAGTTCGATCTATACTGAAGTCAACTAAAATTTCCATGTGGTATTTTTTGATAGCTCTAACACACTCTTCTTTTGTACGAAATCTATCTCCAACTTTCAAGGCCCCTTCAGTTTACATATAAGGATTGTGAAAGATATCTGAGGCTGGTTCATCTTCCCCCAAATTCAAGTTTGTCATGTGAAACAGAGGGTCATACACATGAGATCAATCATTGCCTCATCATCATCTTCTTCTTGGTCAATAATGTCGACTTCGGGGTGGTTTTCCTCGTCAAATTCATCCTTTTCTTAAAAATCTTGAGAAGGATCTACCACCTGAGATTGGCCAGGTTGTTGTAATAAAATATACAACTCAATCTCATTGAACCTGGATTGTTCATGAGTTTGAAATATGTTTCGAACATCATCAGCGTCGTGCACCTTTAGTTGATAAAATCTGACTTGGTTGTTGTCAAATAGAAATGGATACTTGTAAAGAATTTGGTAAACTAGATCACATTGCAATTTTGCTTCTAGTCTATCTTTGAAGCATGCAAAGCTTGATTTCTTGTTTGTCAGAAAGCAGATAAAATCGGTATTATGAAAATTAAAATCGAAGTTATTGTAGTTGAACGTCTCACTGTTAATATGAGCAATAATATTATAATATTGTGAATGATCCATATGTTGAGGTATATTTTTTGTGACTTATGGATGTATACCAGTAACGCGCCTTAAGCAAACGCTTAAATAGACTGATGAAAGTATGGGAAATATAACACTAATGCGCCATCCAAGATGGCTTCTCTTTTAAAATTACAACACATGCGCCACCTAGGGTGGCTTGTCCTCTAAATTTTGTAAGCATGCGCCACCTTGGGCGGCTTGTCACGTGAACGACAGGCTTGCATGCATTCCATCTGATCATTGCCACGCTGCAGCTTTGCATGCATGCAAAAAGGAACAAGTAATGTTGAATGGCGCCTTAATGCAAAAACAAAAGGATGCGCCACCCTAGGTGGCGCCTATGTGTTAATTGCATGCAGAGCATTCTCACGTGAATGCATAATGTTTCTACATATTTTCTTATAAATACATATAACATTCTCGCTATATGTTTATCAAAATCATAACTCACACACTATTTCTTTCTTGAAACATCAACAAGAACACAAGAGTAATCAAGAAAAAATGGCTCTCTTGACCATGGGTGACCAACATAGAGGATCTCTCAACAATATTGAAACCTTTGTAAGTTTATTTTCTTCAATACCTATTATTTGTCAACAAATTTTATTTCCGTAGTTCTTATGATTGTTATACGTAAATATTATATTTCTTATACGTAATTCATGTTTTTAATAGGATGTTAAAAGATTTTGTTGTCGTGTCCATGAGAATGTTCCTTATGATGTACAAATTGAACCGTACTTACAACAAGACAGTTTTAGTTCGTTACTCAACATAGTCAATTACCATGTTGACTATAAAATTATTCTCGCATTAGTGGAAACATGGAAACCCGAAACTCACACCTTTAATCTTCCATGTGGTGAATGTACCGTCACACTGGAGGACGTGTACATGTTATTCGGTCTACTGATCGATGGTAAGGCTGTCAATGGCCGAGTCAACCAAGACAACACCATATGCGAGGAACTTTTGGGAGCCTATTTATTTGAACAAGGGTCTAGAGGCCAAGGTATTAATCTCTGTCTTCTTAGAGAATATCATAGTAGTCTCGTAATAATCAAAAACTCTACCGAGCAAGAAAACATTGTGAAAGCTCGGTGTTA